AAATAGAGATGGTGTTTCACCATCTTGGCCAGGCCGGTCTTGAACTCCTGACCTCGCGATCCACCCGCCTTGGCCTCTCAAAGTGCTGGGATTACAGATGTGAGCCACTGCATCTGGCCAGGACAGTATTCTTAATGGTGAAAGATTAAATGCTTTCCTTCCACAATTGGGAACAAACCAAGGTTATATCTGTTCTTACCACTCTCATTCAACATAGCACTGGAAGTTCTAACCACATTAGCAAAGAAATGAAACTGTTCCTATTTGCAGAGGAATGATTGTCTATGTAGAAAATCTCAAGGAATGAAGGGAAAAAAAACTTTTAAAGCTAAGTAAGTTTAGTCCAGTTGCCATGTAGAAGATAAAACAGACAAACAGTTGTATCATATGTCATAGCATGAACATACGGTCACTGAAGTTAAAATACAATACCATTAAAATTACTAAAAAAAGAAGAAAGCTGAAGAAATTCTTAGGTGTAAATCTAACAAAACGTGTAGGGTCTGTTTGCAGAAAATCACAAAATGTTGATGAAATAAATCATAGACTGTCTAAACAAATGGAGAGACATACTGTGTTTATGAATTTGAAGATCCAACATAGTAGAGATGTAAGTTCTCACCAAATTGATATACAGGTTTAATGGGAATCCTATCAAAATTTCAGCAAGGGCTTTTACAAGATTATTGTAAAATTTGCATAGAAAGGCACAGGCACAGGCTGTTTTAAAATAGCTAAATCAACTTCTAACATGAAGAATAAAGTGAGAGGAATTGGTTTACCCGATTTCAAGTCCTGCTGTGTAGCCGCGATAATCAAACTTGTGTGTTCGATCAGTACAACAGAGAGCCCAGAAAGAGAACCAGCATCAGTGTATGGAGGGGATTAATAGTCTTGAACATATGGAACCAGGTTTCAGGTTAAAAGCAGGATCTATAAATCTCACTTGGGTGCTCTAGGACTGCTTTCTTTTTGCCTTGACTATGGTTAGTGGCTTAAGTTGGTTAGTGGGCGTGGCTGGCTGTTGAGTGAGCAGGGATGTGTTTGTGTTACAGGCATTGATGGCCTTCCGGGATGTGGCTGTGGCCTTCACCCAGAAGGAGTGGAAGCTATTGAGTTCTGCTCAGAGGACCCTGTACAGGGAGGTGATGCTGGAGAACTACAGCCATCTGGTCTCCCTGGGTAAGACTGGCCTGTTTAAGGTTTCAGATTCTGCTTGTGGGCATTTTAATCTCTTACGCAGCAGCTGCCATGCCTCTGACTCAGAAAGAAAAACAGTCTTATCCCCATTCCCCCAGAGAATGCCTGACTTTAGTAGAGCAGTTTTATGTGTGCGTGTGTGTGTGTGTGTGCGTGCTGTGAGCGTGTGTCTGACACTGCATTTCAGGCCTGTTTACCTTGGCTGGGCTCCTCCTCTAAGATTATCTGCCTTCAAAAGGAGGAATATTTTTATTGACTCAAGCACAGGGTAGAATGAACATATTGCTTTTAGGTCTAGGATCCCCTCCCTGTATTCATCCTGTCTCAGCATTCATTGTTTACTCCACCCCCGCACCTCCCTATCACCTTCTGGGTTTATTGCATTCCTGGGTTGGCTCTGAGTTCTGAGATAGCCTCTTAAACCACTAACTCAAGATCACCTTGTGTTTTTTTTTTTTTTTTTTCTGTGAGTAGGAATTGCATTTTCCAAACCAAAACTCATCGAACAGCTGGAGCAAGGGAACGAACCTTGGAGAGAGGAGAACGAACATCTTCTGGACCTTTGTCCAGGTGAGTGGGGAACCCTGGGCAGGCGAGGGTGCAGGGCAGTGAGGAGCTCAGCAGGTAAGGAAGGAGGGGCTGTTTTTGAAGTGCTAGGAGGAAGTTCTTCTTCTTCAGGCCTCCTAGGCCGCTGGTAAAGGCTGTATGGCACTGCCTGCCTTCCACACTGTGTGCCTCCCCCCAGGAGAGGGCACCCCTGGCATTCCATCTCCTTCCTCCATCAGGGAGCCTCACTCCTCACTTGGCTTCCTGTCTCGAGCACATTCAGGATTTCTCCATTCTTGGGCTCATGTGGTTGGCGTGATCTTCAAAACAGTACCTGTCCTTTGAGACTAAGTCCTCTGCCCCTGTTTTTTTTTTTTTTTTTTTTTTTTGAGACAGAGTCTTGCTCTGTCACCCAGGCTGGAGTGCAATGGCAGGATCTCAGCTCACTGCAACCTCCACCTCCTGGGTTCAAGCGATTCTTGTGCCCCAGCTTCCTGAGTAGGTGGGACTATAGGTGCCCACCATCATGCCCAGCTAAATTTTTTTGTATTTTTAGTAGAGATGGGGTTTTACCATATTGGTTAGGCTGGTCTCGAACTCCTGAGCTCAGGCAATCCATCTGCTTTGGCCTCCCAAAGTATTGGGATTACAGGCGTGAGCCACCGCGCCCAGCCAGTTTCTATTCTTAACCCGGTAGGTTTTTTGTGCATCATTTCTATCCTGTAAATTCTCATAACTCTGTTTCTTTTTATCATAGATTATTTAAGATCATAGCAAGGTGTGAAAAACTGTACAATGAGTAGGGTTGGGGCAGCCGTATAGCCTAAGAGATAGCATGTTATAAAGCCAGGTAATAGCCCCATACTTTTCCTGACTGTGTCCTGTTCCTCCGCCTCTGTTTTCTGAGTTAGCATTCCTTGACTGCCTTTATCCTTTTATTCCATCCGATGGGTTCTTCATTCATATAGGGTGTTGTTTTGCATGTCTGTAAACTTCTCTGCACATAATATTATTAAGTTGTTTCCAACCTTTTGACTATGAAATAATCTTGCTCTGTATTCATGTATGCCTCCTTGGGAACACGTGCAAGAGTTTCTCTTAAGATATATACCAGCCGGGTTCGGTGGCTCACGCCTGTAATCCCAGCACTTTGGGAGGTTGAGGCGGGTGGATCACAAGGTCAGGAGTTCGAGACCAGCCTGGCCAACATGGTGAAACCCCATCTCTACTAAAAATAGAAAAGTTAGCCGGGCATGGTGGTGCATGCCTGTAATCCCAGCTACTCAGGAGGCTGAGGCAGGAGAATTTCTTGAATCTGGGAGGCGGACGTTGCAGTGAGCTGAGATTGCGCCATTGCCCTCCAGCCTGGTTGACAGAGCGAGACTCCATCTCACAAAGAAAGAAAGAAAGAAAGAAAGATATACCTAGGTGTGTAGTAGCTAGTTCATAGACATGCATAGCCTCAACTTACATAAGTTATGCCAACTTGTGTTCTGAAGTAGGCATGGCAGCTTATGCTCCCAGCAGGAGTCTATGAGAATTCTTGTTGCACATCCTCACCAAGATTTGGGATTGTCAGACCTCATGTTTTATCCATCTATTCAGCTGGAAGTGAAATCTCAGACGGGTTTTTAAGTTGCTTACTAGTGAGCATGAGCATCTTTTCGTATGTTGCTTGGCCCTTCCTGGCTCCCCATCTGTGATTTGACCATTCAAGGTATTTGCCTACTTTTCAGTGGGTTTATTCTTTTTGTTATTGATTTGTAGAAATCCCAAATTATGGAAACATTTAGGTCTTTAATCTAACTAGAATTAATTTTATATGAATGCTGGGAGATAGAAATTAATTTTTGCCTGCTTTATCTTCTTGTTTATTTTCATGGTTTCCTGGCATTTTATTTTTGTTTTGTTTTTTGCTTTTAAATATAACTATATAGCTGGTGTTACACTATGTAGCAACTGAGTGCTTTTGTCTTTCTAAAAAAATTTCATTATATGAAAATGGGCTGGGCACAGTGGCTCACGCCTGTAATCCCAGACTTTGGGAGGCTGAGGTGGGTTGAGGTGGCCTCACCTGAGGCCAGGAGTTTGAGACTAGCCTGGCCAACATGGCGAAATCCTGTCTCTACTAAAAACACGAAAATTAGCTGAGCCTGGTGGCGCATGCCTGTAACACCAGCTACTCAGATGGCTGAGGAGTGAGAATCGCTTGAACCTGGGAGGCGAAGGTTGCAATGAACTGAGATCACACCACTGTACTCCAGCCTAAGCTACAGAGTGAGACTCTGTCTCAAAAAAAAAGTAAAATAATGATAAAAATGTTATTAAGATACAGTAAGTAAGGTATAAGATGTGTTTTTAAGGTATAAGAAACTACACTTATTTAGGTGTAAAATTTGGTTAGTTTTGGTATATGTATACATGCATGAAACCACTGCCACAACTAAAGTAACAAGCATGTCTGTCATCCTTGAAAGTTTTCTTTTGCCTCACTGTAATCCTACCTCCCACTCCTTCCTGTCCTCCCCTGTACCTGGGCAACCACTGATCAGCTTTCCATAATTATAGATTTGTCTGCATTTTCTAGAATTTGTATAACTGGATTATACAACTGGTTTCTTCACTCAGCATAATTATTTTGAATTTTATCTATGATGTGTGTATCAATAGTTTATTAATTTTTATTGCTGAGTATTCCTTTAGATGGCTAGGTCACATTTTAATACTGACCTATGGAAAGATACTTGGGTTTTCATTTTTGACAAATATAAATAAAGCTGTTTTAAGCATGCAAGTTTTCGTGTGAATATAATGCTTTCATTTCTGTTGAATAAATACCTGGGACTGGAATGGCTGGGTTGTATGATGATGGATACAATCTATATTTAACTTTTGAAGAAACTCACAAACTGCTTTCCAAAGTGGCTGCACCTTTTCGCATTCCCACGGCAGCGCAGTGTATGAGAGCTCCGGGTGTTCCGTATCTGTCGAAACTTGGCTTGGTTATTGTATTAATTTCAGACGTTCTTATAGCTGTGTAGTGAGTGGCATCTTACTGTGGTTTTGACATTTCCTTAATGACTGATGACGTTGAGTGTCTTCATGCACTTATTTGCCATCTTATATCTTCTTTAGAGAAGTGTGTTTTCACATCTTTTGCCCATTTAAAAATGTGGTTTCTTATTTTTGTATTATTGAGTTTGAGAGTTCTTCAGATATTCTATATAGAAGTCCATTATCAGATACATGATTTACAAACATTTTTTCTGTGGTTTACTTTTTATAATCTTACTAGTGCCTTTCAAAGAGAAATTTTTAACTGGGATGAAATCCAGTTTTCAATTTTTTCTCTTATGAATTACAGTTTTGGTAGTATATTTAAGAAATTTTCGTCTAAACTAAGGTCAAAAAGGTTGTCATTTTTTTCTTTTAGTAATTTTATAATTTTTAATTACATTTAGGTCTATACGCCTATTTTGAGTAAACATAAAAATGTACATAAATTCAGGCCTCCCCTTTTTTAGGGGAGGAAGGGCATACAAATATCCAATTTTTCCAACACCATTTATTGAAAAGACTACCCTTTCTTTACTGAATTTCCTATGTACTTTTGTGGAAAATCAGTTGACCATATATGATAGGTCTATACCTGGACTTTATATTTTTTTCTACTCCTCTGTTAGCGTCTCTATGCCAGTACTGCAGTTTTGATTACTGTAGGTTTATTAGGTCTTGAACTCACTGTAAATCCTCCATCTTCTTTGGGAAGCCGAGGCAGGCGGATCACAAGCTCAGGAGTTCAAGACTAGTCTGGCCAGCATAGTGAAACCCCATCTCTACTAAAAATACAAAAAAAATTAGTTGAGTGTGGTGGTGTGCACCTCTAATCGCAGCTACTCGGGAGGCTGAGGCAGGAGAATCGTGTGAACTCGGGTGGCAGAGGTTGCAGTGAGCCGAGATCGCACTATTGCACTCCAACTCAGGCAAAGTGCGACGAGACTCCATCTCAAAATAAAATAAAATATCCTCCATCTTTGCTTTTTTTTTTGCAAGTTCTTTTCGTTATTCTTTTTTTTTCATATGAATTTTAGAATCAGCTTGTCAGTTTTTATCAAAAATGCCTGCTGAGATTTGGATTGGGATCGAGTTGAATCTGTATCAATTTGTGGAGAACTTACATGTAAATAAACTGTGTCTTACCGTGCGTGAACACAGTGTGGCTCTCCATTTACATACGACTTCTTTCATTTTTGTCGGCATTGTTTTGTCATTTCTAGTATACAGGCCTTACATATCTCTTGTCAGATTTGCCCCTAAGTGTTGTATTTTTTTATGCTATTTTTAAGTGTCAATTTTCAGTTGTTTATTGATGGTACATAGAAATAAAATGGATTTATGTGTAGTGATTTTTGCATGCTGTAATCTTGCAAAACTCACATCTTTTTCCACTGGAATATTTTAATACGAAGGACCTTCTCTGAATTCCAGATGGACTGTGAATGGCAATCCCTAACGCTGCTTAAGTTCGCTCTTGCAGATAATGATCTTACTGACTCTAATCGACGATACAAGGAGTTTTTCTTAGGAATAGTATGGTCAAAAATAAGAAATACATATTTTGTGATTAGAAATAGTTAACAAATGGAATAACATATAAATCAGTATTCTATTTATAATCGTCTGCCTTGAACCAAGGGTCTTCTGTTAAATAGTTTAATTCCATTAAATTCTTCACTTCTGTTCTGATAGGGCACTCAAAACCCTGATTCAGTTTCTTGCTATGGGTTGCTACTTGCGGGGTACATTTCTGATCAATGCTTTTAAAAATTTGTTCCAGGGGCTGGGTGCGGTGGCTCACGCCTGTAATCCCAGCACTTTGGGAGGCCAAGGTGGGCAGATCACTTGAGGTCAGGAGTTTGAGACCAGCCTGGCCAACATCGTGAGACCCTATTACTACTAAAAATACAAAAAATTAGCCAGGCGTGGTGGGTGCGCCTGTAATCCCAGCTTCTCGGGAGACTGTGGTGGGAGAATTGCTTGAACCCAGGAGGTGGAGGTTGCAGTGAGCTGAGATAGCGCCACTACACTCCAGCCTGGGTGACAGAGTGAGACTCTGTCTCAAAAAAAAAAAAAAAAAAAAGAACTTAGTCCATAATTACCTAGGAGTGATGGTATCAACTTATGGAAGCTGAAAGCACTGCCAGTTTCCAGAGCGTTTAATTTATACCATCATGGGAATTACTATTATCTCCAATTGGCAGCCTATTTAAACCTAGAAACAAAATTTTTTGAAAAAGTCAATTTGTATAGTTTTAACAGTTTTGGATAAGAATATGCTTAAGCCAAAATATGTATAATCCCTGAAACATCTTTATGCTAATAAGTCATCTATTACTAACCTTCAAACGCTGAACTTCTCCTTAATTCGCCAGATTTTTTAAAAATCCTGGATTGTTGAGCAAAACAGTGTACGCAGTGTTGTGCAATGCTATTCGGGGAATATACTTGGCCGCGGTCTGCCCAGAGGCTAGAGGATAGCACCCTTGTTTGCCAGGAGGGCAGCATCAGGGATTCCTCTTCTTCAAGAGGACTTAAGAGTGTCCATGCAGCAGTTCAGGAGACAACTCACATCAGGCTGCTATGGAAGCTCCCTGGCCTAAAGCCTGTTCCACACAGGAACCAGGATCTCTTGCTGCAGCTTATCTGATTCGTGGGTGCCCCTTACTTGAGTCGCCACAGTCAAGGAAGCCCAAAATATGGCTCCCGTTCAGATGTTTAGATCTTATTTATAGCATCTTCAGGATCGTAATCAGTCTATTACTTACCGCAGCTCAGACAGCAAGTTCTTGGCTCTTGCATAAACAGCAGGCCAAACAAATGTTTCTCAGGCAAGGTTTCATAGGCGTGAGCTGGAGCAAAAGCAAGAGAGCAGCGCCCAAGAAAGGAAAATCAATGTGTAACTCTACTTGCAGCAGTTTATAGAGCTGAAGCTGCCTGTGATGCTTTTGTGAACTTTCTGGTTTGGCTGATAGGACTAATTTGTAGTGTGGGTTTTCTGTGCTGCAATAGAGCATGTAATGTGCCCTTGTGGGTTGGAAGATAGGTCTTTGTTGTGAACATCTGAAGAAAACTGCTGGGCAGGTATTGCAATCCACAGGCACCTGTGGTGATTCTGACCGAGACTTTCTCTCTAGCAGAGCCTAGGACAGAATTCCAGCCCAGTCTTCCCCACCTGGTGGCCTTTTCTAGCTCGCAGCTCCTCAGACCATATGCACTAAGTGGTCATCCCACACAGATCTTCCCAAGCTCATCTGCAGGAAGTGACTTCCAACTAGAAGCTCCAAGATGCTCTAGTGAAAAAGGAGAAAGTGGAGAGACAGAAGGCCCCGACACCTCATTAAGAAAGAGGCCAAGCAGAATTTCTAGGACATTCTTCAGCCCACATCAAGGTGACCCAGTAGAATGGTTGGAAGGGAACACACAAGGAGGAATAGACCTTCGCCTGGCCCAGAGGATGAGTCCTGGGGGGTCAGACACAATGTTGAAGGGAGTAGACACCTCAGAATCTGGAGCAGTCATACGTGGAAACTATAGACTGGGACTTAGCAAAAAGTCAAGCCTGTTCAGCCACCAGAAGCATCATGTGTGCCCTGAATGTGGGAGAGGCTTTTGCCAGAGATCAGACCTTATCAAGCACCAGAGGACACACACCGGGGAGAAGCCATACTTGTGTCCAGAGTGTGGGCGTCAGTTTAGCCAGAAGGCCTCCCTCTCCATACACCAGAGGAAGCACTCGGGGGAGAAGCCGTATGTGTGCAGGGAATGTGGGCGACACTTCAGGTATACATCCTCCCTCACTAACCACAGGAGGATTCACTCCGGGGAGAGGCCCTTTGTATGTCAGGAGTGTGGGCGAGGCTTTCGCCAGAAGATAGCCCTCATTCTACACCAGAGGACACACTTGGAGGAGAAGCCCTTTGTGTGTCCGCAGTGTGGGAGAGGCTTTTGCCAGAAGGCATCCCTCCTCCAGCACCAGAGCTCACACACAGGCGAGAGGCCCTTCCTGTGCCTCGAGTGTGGGCGTGGCTTCAGGCAGCAGTCGCTCCTCCTTAGTCACCAAGTCACACACTCAGGGGAGAAGCCTTATGTCTGTGCCGAGTGTGGGCACAGCTTTCGCCAGAAGGTCACTCTCATCAGGCACCAGAGGACACACACAGGGGAGAAGCCTTACCTGTGCCCCCAGTGTGGGCGGGGTTTCAGCCAGAAGGTCACCCTCATTGGACACCAGAGGACACACACAGGGGAGAAGCCCTACCTGTGCCCTGATTGTGGGCGTGGCTTTGGTCAGAAGGTCACCCTCATCAGACACCAGAGGACACACACCGGGGAGAAGCCTTATCTGTGCCCCGAGTGTGGGCGCGCCTTTGGCTTTAAGTCGCTTCTCACCCGACACCAGAGGACACACTCAGAGGAGGAGCTTTATGTTGACAGGGTGTGTGGGCAAGGACTTGGCCAGAAGTCACACCTTATCTCTGACCGAAGGACACACTCGGGAGAAAAGCCCTGCGTCTGCGATGAATGTGGGCGCGGCTTCGGCTTTAAGTCTGCCCTCATCCGGCATCAGCGGACCCATTCTGGGGAGAAGCCGTATGTCTGCAGGGAGTGTGGACGTGGCTTTAGCCAGAAGTCTCACTTGCATAGACATAGGAGGACCAAGTCTGGTCATCAGCTCCTACCCCAAGAGATCTTCTGACCTTTCCTTTCCTCGTGCGTGTGAAGCTGGCAGAAATCACTAGTAAATGCTTCAGTTTCCTGAAATGGGATGGAAAAAGAAAATGTTGCTTTCTTTCATTGATCATGAGATAGTTGAATTTTGGTTTACCTTCTATATTCACAATTTGTCTTGGCTTGCTAGGGATTCCATAACAAAGTACCCCAGGTTGGGTGACTAACAACAGAACTCTATTTTCATATTTATGGAGGCAGGAAGTCCCAGATGAAGGTATTGGTAGGTTTGGCTGCTGCTAAAGCCTCTCTGCTTGGCTTGCGGATGGCTGCTTTCTGGCCACATCCTCACGAGGCCTTTTTTCTGTGTGTATACTTTCCTGGTGTGGCTTCCTCCTCTTGTAGGGATACCAGTCATTCTGGATAGAGCCACAGCCATATGGCCTCATTTAACCTTCATAACCTTCTTAAAGGCCCTATCTCCAGACACAGTCACACTACAGGGTTGGGACTTCAACATGAATTCTTGGGAAACCCAATTTAGTCTATAACACTCCACTACCAAAGTTCAGGTCCTTCAAACATACAAAATACATTCACAGGATCCCAACAGTCCCAAAATTCTTTACCCATTTCAACTTCAACTCTAGATCCAAAATCTCATTTAAATATCATCTAAACCAAGCGTGAATGAGACTTTAGGTACAATTCATCCTTAGGCAAAATTCTCCAGCTGTGATCCTGTGAAAGCAGACAGATTATCTGCTTCCAAAATATTATACAATGGTGGGACAAGCAGAGGCTGAACTCCCCATTCCAAAGGAGAGACATGAGAAAGAAATGAAGAATGATGGATCCTCAGCAAGTCTCAAACCTGGCAAGGCAACTTCCATTAGATTTTAAGTTTCGGGAATAATCCCCTTTGGCTCAGTGCTCTGCCCTGTGGGCCAGCTGGATTTTGGTACTGTGTAGGGATGCTTTGTAACCTAAAATGTGGAAGTGGCTTGGAACTGGGTTCTTGGTAGAAAGAAGCTACAAGAGTTTTGAGGCACATGTTAGGAAAAGCCTGGATGACCTTTAAAACACTGCAGCCCTACTTTTTGGGCTCACGGGAGCTGCAGTGTCGCTTCCTTGGCCCTGGGCAGTGGCTCCTGGCCCACTGAAATTGAGAAGCAGACACACTTGCCCTCTAGCCCTGTACTCTCTGGACCCATTAGAACCTTTGAGAATCACATTCTTCCCTTTTCTTGTACCTTCCTGTAGAATCCCAGAAGTCCAACAGCCTGCCTTCATTTGTCCTGTGTCATTCTCTATTCAGTTCAAGCTGGCAGCGTTTCTGGTGAGATGGTTAACTGGTTCCATTCAGACCTATACCAATCTCTTTATCACATGGTTGTCCAGCCACACCCTAGTGTTCTTTCGAGAACATACTTTCTCATTTTTTGTAATGCGGACAGGCTGAGAATTTTCCAAATCTTTAAGTACTGGTTCTTTTTTGCTTAACAGTTCCTTCAATTTATCTTTCTCCTCTCACATTTTACTATAAGCAGCAAGGAGAAGACAGGCTCCACTTGCATCACTTTGTGTAGAAATATCACCTGAATATTCTGCACTGCCTCACTCACAAGTTCTATACTCCACAAAACACTAGAATGCAATTTGGGCAAGTCCTTTGCAAGGATTCCAGTTTCCCGTTACCCATTCCTCATTTCTGTCTGAGACCTCACCACAATCACCTTAAAGGAAAAAAAAAACAACAAATTTTGTAGATACGGGTTTTTGCTATGTTGCTTAGGCTGGTCTCATACACCTGGCCTCAAATGATCCTCCTGCTTTGCCCTCTCAAAGTGTGAGCCACCACACCCAGCCCAGAACCTTTAACATCTACATTCCTACCAACAGTGTTTTAAAGGTTATCCAGGCTTTTCCTAACATGTGCCTCAAAACTCTTATAGCTTCTTTCTACCAAGAACCCAGTTCCAAGCCACTTCCACATTTTAGGTTACAAAGCATCCCTATCACAGTACCAAAATCTGTATTAATTTGCTAGGGCTAACATAAGAAAACAACAGACTGGGTGCCTTAAACAATAGAACATTTAGCTTCTCACAGGTCAGGAAACTGGAAGTCCTAGAATGGAGTGTTGACAGGTTTGGTTTCTACTAAGGCCTCTCTCCTTGGCCTGCAGATGGCTGCCTTCCCATAGTGGTGTCACATAGCTTATTCTTTGTACACACACTTTCCTGATGTCTCTCGTTAAAAGGACACCAGTGATAGTGGATTAGGGCAACACCCTAAAGACCTCTTTTTAACCTTAATTACAACTTTAAATGTCCTGTATGCAAAAACAGTTACATTGGGGATTAGGGCTTCAACATATGCATTGCGGTGGGGAGGGACACAATTTAGTCCATAACACTCTGACTTCTGGACTTCCAAAATTCGTGTCTAGCCATGAGCACCTGCCACAGAGTGCTCTCCTGACCATTCCTTTCCTTTCTCCATAAGTGTGAAGATGGCAGAAACCAATAATAGATGTTCCACTTTCCTGATATGGAATGGAGAAAAAAGAGTTGCTTTCCTTCATTGATCATGAGATAGTTGGTTTATGCTTTACTTTCTGCACAGCGGTCGTTTGTATTTTATGGTCTTTTGTTTTAATAAACTGCTTCTCTACAAAGCTGCATACCTGGCTATGTACCTCATTCACTGATACTTGTAGGAGAGCCCCAAGGCATTCAACCTCTTCGGAGACATGGAGGAATTACTCTGCATATTTATTCTAGACTACTGTCCTATGGGACGGGGATATTACGGTATTCAACCTCACCTCTTCCTAAGTCTTCCAGTGTCTGTGAGGAGAGATGCTGGCCACAAGCTCAACTTCCCTGACTCCAGATTGGAGGGCATTTATTCACATCCCTGTCATGTTAGCTATGCCTGCGTGCCAGTGATCCAGCCCGTCAGCCACAACCTTCCTTAAAACTCCAGTCAGGAGCTAAGACTCTGAAGCCACCCACCCTTCTATCCAGCCCAAGACGCTGCCCCTTTAGCTGTAGTCCCTCCTGTTCCTTGATCCCCAGAGCCCAAATGCCCTAGATCCTGACAAATGCCTACATCAAGACTGGCCCTGGCCCTGTTCCTTCAGCACCAAGTGTTTACTGCATGGTCAGTCTCCCCAGTGCTTGGAGCCGCTGCTGGCTCAGAGGGGTTTTTCACCAGAATGAAAAGAAAGATTTTAGTTTGGGAGAATTCGCCTTGGGAGGATAGATGAAAGAAGAATGACAGATGGGGGTCACTGACCCAGCATCTCAGCTGGAGATGGTCTTTGGGTTAGCTTTGATGGGGATGCCTTGAGACCACTGGGGACAGCCCTTATCAATACATTTTCACTGAAGCCATTTTGCCTCAGTGAGTTATCCAATGGCCAGAGCTGAAGTCACAAGGGAAGCAGGGTGTGTGTGTGTGTGTGTGTGTGTGTGTGTATGCACGTGTATGTGTGGTGTGGCGTCATTTCATGCCAGAAGTTTAAAAATTTCTACTGAGAATATAAATAGAAAGAATAAGCATTCTAGCATGTATATTGACCTTTTACTTGAAAGTGTTTTTCCATAATGGAAGTTTCTATGGCCATTCACCCAAAATGGACCTGATAAATGATATATAAATTAAAAACAGGCCCGGCGCAGTGGCACACTCCTGTAATCCCCACACTTTGGGAGGCCAAGTTGAGTGGATCCCTTGAGGTCAGGAGTTCGTGACCAGCCTGACAAACATGGCAAAACCCCATCTCTACTAAAAATACAAAAATTAGCCGGGCATGGTAGTGGGTACCTGCAATCCCAACTACTCGGGAGGCTGAGGCAGGAGAATCACTTGAACCCGGGAGGCGAAGGTTGCAGTGAGCCAAGATCGTGCCATTGCACTCCAGCCTGGGTGACAAGAGCAAGACACTGTCTTAAAAAAAAAAAAAAGTGTGTGTGTATATATATATATATTTATATATCTTACATATATATAAATGGAAATTTTTTAAAAAATATCTCTGCTAGATACATCTGAAACCTCTCTTTTAGATAAAAATGGTGATGAAAGAAGGGGAAAGAATGATTTTATTGGGTTAATAGAAAACCACACCTGAAATGAATATCAGTGTTTTCTAGAAATAAGAAATCTATGCCT